AAATGGGAAATTTTCCATCTTCACTATATCGTACGATTCACTATACAGTAGGTTCACTATATCGAGCGCCGACTGTATTACATAGAAGGACTAAAGCCAGCAACGAAAATGGAAGTGGTGTATCAAGCTCCTGATACATTAGAAAGAGCCATAGCACATGCTATCCAATACGATACTGCAATGTTTGGGATGGGAAGACCCTTTGCAAACAATAATCAACATACAAAACCCTCCCATTCAGGACGAACCCAAAGAAATTACAATTACACTCACTATAAAAGTAGCAGCAGTAATAATTACAATAACAATAACAGTAGTAATGATAATAGTAATGGTAAGTATGTACCAATGGAATTGGACCAAGTAGAAACTCCTCAACAAAATTTTATAATAATAACAACAATAATAGAGGAAATGACAAGAAACAATTTAAAGGAAATTGCTATAAATGTGGCCTAGCAGGACATTATGCAAGGGACTGTAGAAGAAAAGCCAAACTTACTAACATTGAAGATGAACAACAACAGCAGCAACAACCACCTCTTGTTAACAATAGTCTAGAACTAACACAAGTGGAAGGAAATCAAGAAAGGTCGCTTCAGTTTAAGGGTATAATTAATGGGCATCATGCTTGGATCCTCCTCAACAGTGGAGCGTCGCAAAATTTTACTGATTAGGAATTCGTAAATAAGAATCAATTAAAAACAAGGGATGTGTCACCTATTTCTGTTGAGTTGGCAGATGGAACTAAGACCAAAACTAACAAGATCATTGACATCAATAAACTGGAATTAGGTTCCTATCATACTACTGGAATCACAGCACAAGTAATTAAGTTACAACGTTATGATGTCATATTGGGAAAACCATGGCTCTACCATGCCAACCCTAGCATTAATTGGAGAGCAAATACATTGACATTTCAATATGGACCAAAGACTATCTGTAATGTTTACTTTTCTTAACAATAATAGTTTCTCGAACGGTATTTTAATGATTGTAAAAATACAAGTTAATCTTTATTATCTTAATATGATGTCCTTTATATATAAAATTACATAGATTGATAAAATATAAATAATAATATAAGATTGATAAAATATAAATAAAATATAAATAATAATAATCATAAGATTCTTATCAATCTATCCGGAAGATTTTGTGGACATAAATAATAATAATAAATATAATTAAAGACACGAAATAATTGATACAAATAATAATAATAAATGTGTCACATTTCTAATGTAAATATTTATGTACCACCCCGATGTTACACATGACTTCGGAGTAATTTGTTACAATGGTATATAATGAATTTTTGTTCTTTGATTGACCTTGAGAGTATCAGGGAAACATCAACTAAATTATAACTTTTAAGAGTATTGCGAGCATGTAAAATACAGCTCATGATATGTTCAATAAAATATAAGATAAAATAATATAAAAGTCCAATATATAAATCTCCCTGTATCCACACACAGCTCAGAGTTCTCAATACTCTATACCAGGCCTCTGTATCTGCACACAGCTCAGAGCCTACTCAAAAACTCTCTCTATTGTGCAATTCTCTCAGTAATTGCAAGCCATTTCTTCTTTTCTTTAATAATATATCCTACAGTTGATTTACCAATTTCTTCATATTTTTTTTTGAATTAGCAGTATTATATTCACATAATTCTCTTTTTTTTTTGAATATTAGTAAGTGCAACTAATTTTCTTTCTTTCTTACTAGATATTCCTTCCATAATTATAAATGGGTTTGTTGTTATTAATGATTTTATTTTAGAAATTCAGAAGGTTGGGAGAAATATATTATTCATGAAACAGATATTTATTATAAATCATGAAATTATATTTACAAAAATTTATTGGATCATACATTACTAAAAATAGTAAAGATCAATCTCAAGATTTACAAAAATCACGTGAACAAACTACAGTCTAACCTCGTCACAGCAGATTTATGGTACCAGCCAAAAAAATCCGCTGTGACGAGAAATCCGCTATGGCAAATTTGATGATCTGCAAAAAATTT